AAACATTATGATTCTGACTGTACGAACTTCGACAATTTTACTAGGTGCATTGCTTTTCCATAATCACTGAACATCTCAAAACTTTCTCAAATGATGTAAACTAGTCCTTATTGAGATACATATGGAAAGTACAAGCCGAGTCCAGAACACATTCCTTACAATGTTTGGGATCCATGTCAGAAATCACAAGAAGCTCTCATTCACTCTACCCCGCTTCCGCAAAAATCAGTCTCCACTGTGTTAACAGGTTGCTTTCCTCTTTCAGTATCACCAGCAGCATTATTCTTATTTTTCAAAGAATAGCAACTAGCCTTTATATGTCCATTCTTCTTACAGTAATGGTACACCTTTTCTGCATGTCTGAATTTCAATCTACTCTTCATATCTATACAAAGATTCCTATCCTATTTTTTCCCACGAACAATTAGGCCTTCAACCTAACTCCCAGATCTTCAAACAAGTTGCCTCATCTTCTCTTTAGATAGTAGAGCATTATAGACCTCTTCCACAGTGAAAGTACCTGACTATAGAGAATAGTATCTCTAAAAGTCAAATATGACAGGGACAGTGAACACAACAACATCAACACTAGGTCCTTTTCATCATATTTAACCTCCAATGTTTCCAAATTAGCCACGATTTTTTTGAACATAGTTAAGTGATTATGTAATGTTGCACCTTCAGACATTTTGGTGTTCAATGCTACTGGTGTTAGATAGCATTATTTGTGAACCAAAAAGCTTTTCTTGTTTATTAACATGGATAGTTAAAAGTTGATTACTTATATAATTAGATTGATTCGTCCATATTTTTGGTTGGACAACAAATATGAACTCATTTTCGATTGGGAAAGGTGCAGAGAATTGGCTCAATACATTAGTTTTGATCAACTTTGACCATTTATTAAAGCAGGAACCATTAAAATGGACACGAGAAATTTTAGGCCAATTGTGTTTTACTTGTGAGTAGATAATCGTAGTATATTTAGTTTCTTAAAATCAATTTCAGTGAATGAGATATTAAGGCTAAGAGCGAGCAACTCGAAATTTGGAAATTGGAAGTGGTGAAAATTGGATGAAAAGTCATTCTTACATTGGAAGTCTAAGAATCACTTGTACAACTTTAAAAAAAAAAATGAAGTTTTGAATGTCAGTCTGGCTCCAAATGATACTTATATTCTTTGAAAGGGAAGAGTTGCTTATTAGTGGGTTTGAGCCAAAACCCAGACACATAGGCCAAGCGTGGGCACGGACATGGTTCATGGGCTTTGCTTGTTCCAAAATTCATACAATACACCATTGCTGTATTAAATTTTTATACTTTCAACACAATAATTTTTCTATGCATATTAGTATGATTTCTTATGAAGGGAGTTCACATTGATATGTTCATTGATTTTGATCTTAGTAATTTGAAGTGATCCTATTTTAAGATGTGGTCCTCAATCGTGGAAGACGAGTGTTTGAGTCCATTAACATCTTTATGAGGTAATATCTTTTTAAGAATGAATAGTCCAACTCTTGACTCGACAAAATTTATTTTCTGCATTCTCATCTTTCTACATTTCATTTTTTTCTTATTACTCTGGTTAGTGGTAAGTCATCAATCTGCTGGTTTGTTTGGACAATAAAATTTATATGAAATATAATCATATGCACATTTTTTTTCCAAACAAAAGGCGCAAAGCCTTGTGATATGGACAAGAAATATGTATTTTAAGGTAAATAGTATTCCTTGAAATAGTAGACCTTGAAGGTATTGTTCGTGTGATACCTGCAAGCGTACAGGATCCTTGACAAATAATAATAAGTGAGTTAAGAGTTATCGTCCCACAGAGAATAAATTTAATTCAATTTTACTAGTTTCGTATGGAATTCTAGTTATGAAAACAAAATAAATATTTTGATTTGATTTAAACTAAATTAATCTAAAAAAGCAATAAAAATTGGGGTTTTATCAAATTATGGAGGATTGTATTGGATTTTGACTCCGCCTATTGCTATTTATTTCAATTCTTGATTCGTAATCTAATTTCTTTCATGAGTTCTTGACAATCGATAACACTAATATGTTAAATGTTCTTTTCCAAGATACACCAACCTATGATTAACACGACCCAATCCTATTCCTAGTCTGAATTCATATGAAAATCATGCATTTAGTTTAAGTTATCAATATGATTGCATGTATGATAGATATTATTCATAATCCTAACTATACATGTTAATTTTGCCGCATTCTAGGCTCGTTGTGAATATTCCTACACTACAATAAGCAACTAACTATTCAATTGATTGCCAAACAATTCAATAGTGCAATGGGAATGCAAAATTAATCAAGTAACACACGAATTAAACTAAATACTTGTCTTGAATTAAAATAAATAAATAATAGGGTTCATCTCATCCAATACAATGAAAAACTAGTTTAGCATATTAACATATAAATTACAAGAAGAATAATAGAAAAATATCACTCGGATCATGAAAGAATGCAAAAGATGTTGATCTTCACGTCTAAAGTTGAATTTTTCAAAACTTGATGTAATTAAACTTCATTTCCTTGCTATGGCTTGATCTTCTCTCTCAAAATATAGCAATTGGCCCCTTGTTCTTGATGGATTTGATGAAACTATTGTGTATGAAGAGGCAAGAGAGAGACCCTTTCATTGCTGCCCATGTCTTGTATTTATATGATGAAATTATGTCAAATTTCACGTCCAAATTGTCTTCCAAAAGACTTTAAATCAAATAAGGAAAGTTGACTTCGCGCGCACATAATTTTGTCTCTACACAGCCTTTAGTATTTTGATCATAACTTTCTCTTTCGGTATCCGATTTAGGTGATTCAAAGTGCATTGAAAAGCTAATTAAAAGATCTACAATTCTTTTAGATGTACAATTTTTCCAATTCAAACTTCCTCCATCCGAAAAATGGGTCTCAAGTTGACTGAAAATCTTGAAAATATCCTATATCATTGGAAGTCGATTTATGGTAATAGTCTAGTCATATCCCCTTCCTTTTTTACTCCAATTTGCATTCAATTTACTCCTATCAATTTTCAAAGTATCTTTTGTGGTCCAGATCAACCATTAAATATTTACACTTTCGTCCCCATACTTTGGATTTGCTTCATTTAGCCATTTTCCGTTCTTTTTTTCGATTCTTCTTTGAAACATGAACTTTTCCTAATAAAAGCAATAAATAACAAATCAGGTACTAATCCGTTCAAAGAATAACAAAATATCATCATTTAAGATCTCAAATAAGTGTAGAAACTACACTTATCAAACCCCCAAACTTGAATCTTTGTTTGTCCTCAAACAAAAATATAACCTAAATAATAACAAACATACAAGCATGCAAAAATATTTGGTTGGACAATCTAGCTTTTTACCACAGAATTCGAGATCACCGTATTAAATCTATAAACTACTTCAAAGTCACAATACCAAACCAATATCCACTTTTTCAATGCAAAATCGACGTGTGTGTGTGTGAAAAATTAAGTAGACATTAATGATTTCACAAGTTGTTTCAATTCCCGACCCTCTATGGTCAAATATATCATTTCATCTTTCGTAAGATTCACACACCCCTAAATTTATTATTTTTCACTATTTTCTCAGTGTGTGATCTAAGGTTGAATTTTTCATTACATCCTTATCCTTACCCTCTCTAGTTCAGGTGGACATCACTGGTTGCAAGTCAATACATCAATGAACAAGGATTATCAATTAATTTGATTGCTTCGACCTCCAAGACTCAAGTAGGCTAATTATCTTTAATCGAAAGTTAAATTTTCTCGAATAAGTGTTAGGACTTAACAAGGTATTTAGTGCTTCTGCTTTTTTCCATGCACTTTTTTTTCTGATTTTTAAGAGTTTTTTTTTTCTCTCCATTAACCTTTCTAGATGACCCCTGTAGTAGGCTTTAGGCCGATAACTTCTAAGTCAGATGACTTTAGGGCACCAGATTTTAAGATATCCTTACATGTTTAATAACCCGAGTCAAAAAGACTTCAAAGAGAATAATTTTATTTTTTTTCAAGTGCAACTTCATCTCCGATTACTTTCTAAATAACTCCTGTAATGAGCTTTAGGCCGATGATTCCCAAGTCAGACGACTTTAGGACATCAGGTTTTAAGATACTCTTGCAGGCTTAATTACTCGAGTCATAAAGGCTTTAGAGAGAAGTTTTAAATTTCAAAACATATGCCTTGATTAGTGAAATGCCCCTTATCACACACTTATTCAATCAAATCACCTCCAACTCAAAACTTTCACCCAATTTTGCAACGTCATGTTCCTGCATATGGCAGTTAAATAAAAAATTAGAGATCAAATAACCTAGAACATGTGTTACTTAGCCCAAACATCTAATAAACCACTAAATCTCAAAGACCTAAGAGAAAACATGGTATGGATGATGAGTCCCTAAAATAAAAATTAATCTAAATTATCTTAAGCTATTCTAATTATAGTAAAATAAAATAAAATGGATAGAAATATTGGGTTGCCTCCCAACAAGCGCTTAGTTTATAGTCTTTAGTTAGACTTTGTTGCTTTTAGGCTCTTTATGGTGGCTTGAAAAGAGAATCTTCAACCCTGCATTTTAAGCACTGGTTGCACTTCTTTCTTTCATTTTTCATCCGCCACATGATCAAGTTTCCATTATTATTCCTACCAACAATTCCACCTATATCTGGCCGGCCTTTGTAACTCTCTCAGTGATCAACTCGTTGGCAATCCTCAGAATATGATGGTTGCTTGATTGGATTCTCCATGGTGAAACTTTGTTGCTTATCCTCCACCCTCAGGACTATCTCGTTTGTATCAAAATCAAGTAATGTCCGACTTGTTGACATGAATGGCCTTCCTAGTATTATTGGAATTTGGGATGCCTCTTCTATGTCTAGAATGATAAAGTCAACTGGAAAAATAAATTATCCCGTCTTGATAAGCATGTCCTCGACTATTCCATAGGGATGTTTCAATGTTCAGTCCGCCAGCTGAAGGATGATAGAAGCCGCCTTGGGATCTCCCAATCTCAATTTCCTGCAAAGAGGCAAAGGAATTAAGTTAATACTTGCTCCTAAATCAATTAAACAATTAATACCTTGTAAGTTTCCTATGGAGCAAGGTAAAGTGAAACCCCCTGGATCTTTAAGTTTGGGAGGGATCCTGTGCTGGGTGATCGCACTGCACTCTTCAGATAGTGTTATTATTTCATGCTCAGGCAACTTCCTCTTTTTAGTCAGCATCTCCTTCAAAAACTCAGAATAGTTTGGGATTTGAAGGATAGCGTCAATGAATGGGATGTTGACATGCAACTTTTTGAGGATTTCTAGGAATTTCATAGCTTGCTTCTCCAATTTAGTCTTCTGTAACATTTGAGGAAAAGGGACCAGAGGTGTCAGTGAAGTGCCAAGAATATTTGCCTTAAACTGTGGATTGTTTGAAATTGTCTGTTGGTCCTTTTCTATTGCTTCTTCAAACTGCTCAATCGGTTCCTTATCCTTAGTAAGCATTTGAGTTATCTCTGTCTCCTTCCTCTTTACAGTGATTTTTAGCAATTGAACACCACTTCTAGTAGTGATGGCCTGAACCTGCTCTGCTGTTGGCTGGCGTTGAAATCTTTGAGGAAATGAAATGGGTGGCACATAAACTTTGACAGGGGTGGTGGATGTGGTAGATGTGAGCTCAATAGTTGCATAATTTACCGCCTCAGCTGCTAATACCTGTCCCGTGGGTTCTTCTCTGTGTCATTCGGCAAGGTACCCTATGGTCTATTGGCTAATGCAGCTGCTATCTGTCCCACCTGATTTTCTAGTTTATGTATGGAAGCCTATTGATTTTGCATTACTGTTTCAGTCTTGGTGATGTACGTGACCAGTAGATCTTCCAAGGATTGCCTCTTACCTTGCTGTTGCTGAATTACTAGTGGATTGGCCTTCATCTGATTTACTTGATCTGGATTATCCACCCACAAATAGTTGGAATGCTTGTTCAAACCCGGATGGTAGTTGTATGGGTAAGATCCATTTTGCCTCTGATAGTTTTGTGAATAATTGACCTCTGCTGACTGACCCATGTGAGTAGAAGTCAAAGGACAGCTTGTAGTGATGTGATCTACCCCACAACCTGCACATACCGGAGCTGGATGTTGTACCATGTGCACAAATTGAGTTAAAGTATCAAGCTTTTTTGTTATTGCTTCCATCTGCGCTACCAATGCTGTTACTGCGTCCACATTATGCAATCCAACTATTTTTCTCGGAGCTTCCCTATCTGTTAGCCAGTTGGCCTGATTCTCAGCAATCCTCTCAAATAAATTATGTGCATCATCCACCTCGATAGTCAAAATTGATCCACCCACAGAAGCATCAACTATATTGCGAAATTCAGCATGCAGTCCATTATAGAATAGATATATTTGTGCCAGTTTAGGAACATCAAGATTTGGACATTTCCTAAACGCACTTTTGAACCTATCCCATGCTTTCGGATATGTCTCATGATCCTTCTGTCTGAAAAGATATACTTCATTTCTGATTTGGTGGACTCGAGATGGTGGGAAGAATTTCATGGTAAATTTTTGTGCCATGTCATTCCACGATATGATGCTCCCAGAGAGTTGTGACATCATTCATATTTTCGCACCCTCCTTCAAAGTGCGAGGGAATAAACGCATTCGTAATGCATCTTGTGACATCCTCTCATGGCTAATGACATCACAAAGCATGGTAAAAGCTTGAATATGTTCGTGTGGATTTTCCGTAGCTTTCCCGCTAAACCTGATGTCTTGATGATTTCGAAAAAGATTTATGACATCTGGTCGGATGTGAAAGTTTGCTTGTCCAAACGGTGAATAGACAATAGGAGGTTGAATCGGTGCAGGTACTGGATTCACATAATCTCTAACCAATAGAGGCTGAGCTGGAGGTGGTTGTTGAACCTGAAGTGCTGCATTTTACAGTGCATTTTGAATCTGCCCTTGATTCTCAGCCATTACCCTCATTCTTCTTAGTTCTCTTAGAGTTGTTTAAAGGTCCTTTCGATTTCGAGATCTAGTAAAAGCCTTAAGAGTAAAATAAGAAGAAATTAGGTATCACGATTAAAGCCTAAAATAACAAAAATAATAATAAAATAATAAATAAATAAATATAATAATAATAATAATAAAATTCAAATCCAATGTAAACTAATAAACTCAAACTAAAACTTTATTCCCCGGCAACGGCGTCAAAAACTTGTTCGTTTAATACCCACAAGCGTACGAGATCGTTCACTAGTAATAATAAGTGAGTTAAGAGTTATCGTCCCACAGAGAATAAATTTAATTCAAGTTTACTAGTTTCGTATGGAATTCTAGTTATGAAAACAAAATAAATGTTTTGATTTGATTTAAACTAAACTAATCTAAGAAAGCAATAAAAATTGGGGTTTTATCAAATTATGAAGGATTGTATTGGATTTTGACTACGCCTATTGCTATTTATTTCAATTCTTGATTCGTAATCTAATTTCTTTCACGAGTTCTTGACAATCGATAACACTAATACGTTAAATGTTCTTTTCCAAGATACACCAACCTATGATTAACACGACCCGATCTTATTTCTAGTCCGAATTCATATGAAAATCATGCATTTAGTTTAAGTTATCAATATCATTGCATGTATGATAGATATTATTCCTAATCCTAACTATACATGTTAATTTTGCCGCGTTCTAAGCTCTTTGTGAATATTCCTACACTACGACAAGCAACTAACTATTCAATTGATGGCCAAACAATTCAATAGTGCAATGGGAATGCAAAATTAATCAAGTAACACACGAATTAAACTAAATACTTGTCTTGAATTAAAATAAATAAATAATATGATTCATCTCATCCAATACAATGAAAAACTAGTCTAGCATATTAATATATAAATTACAAGAAGAATAATAGAAAAATATCACTCGGATCATGAAAGAATACAAAAGATGTTGATCTTCACGTCCAAAGTTGAATTCTTCAAGACTTGATGTAATTGAACCTCAATTCTTTGATATTGCTTGATTTTCTCTCTCAAAATATTGCAATTGGCCCCTTGTTCTTGATGGATTTGATGAAACTATTGTGTATGAAGAGGCAAGAGAGAGACCATTTCATTGCTGCTCATGTCTTGTATTTATATGATGAAATTAGGTCAAAATTCACGTCCAAATTGTCTTCCAAAAGAGTTTGAATCAAATAAAGAAAGTTGTCTTCGCGCGCACATAATTGTCTCTGCACAGCCTTTAGTATTTTGTTCATAACTTTCTCTTTCGGTGTCCGATTTAGGTGATTCAAAGTGCATTGGAAATATAATTAAAAGATCTACAATTCTTCTAGAAGTACAAGTTTTCCAATTCAAACTTTCTCCATCCGAAAAATGAGTCTCAAGTTGACTGAAAATCTTGAAAATATCGTATATGATTGGAAGTCGATTTATAGTAATAGTCTAGTCATATCCCTTTCCTTTTTTACTCCAATTTGCATTCAATTGACTCCTATCAATTTTCAAAGTATCTTTTGTGGTCCAGATCAATCATTAAATATTTACACTTTCGTCCCCATACTTTGGATTTGCTTCATTTAGCCATTTTTTGTTCTTTTTTTCAATTCTTCTTTGAAACATAAACTTTTCCTAATAAAAGCAATAAATAACAAATCAAGTATTAATCTGTTCAAAAAATAACAAATTATCATCATTTAAGATCTCAAATAAGTGTAGAAACTACACTTATCAAGTATATGTCACACCCCGATCTCTAGGAACTCGTGACATTACAAAGATCTTAAATTTATAAAATTCTACCTAAATAATTCATAAAGTGTAGAAATTTAACTTCTATTAAAAATGTTAAGGCTCCAGAGGACTCATTACAAAATTTATGAAATTTTTGTTCAGAAAGTTTAGACTTTCAGCTTGTACGATTTTCTGAAATATATCTCGTTCGACAAATAAATGAAGTCCAAATTTTACAAAATTTTAACTGTAGACATCATACACATAGAGAAATTACAAGTTAAAATTTCATAGATAAATTCAATCAATAGATTGGTCAAAAAAATTCTAAACCAGGGCTATTTGTTCCCAGGTACATTCTGACAGCTATTGGGAAATGTTTATAACTTGAGTTTTATAGATCCAAAATTCATGATTCCAGATCCGAGAGATAGATAACTCATATGGCTATCTTTTCCAATTGGAATCACCTCAAAATTCCAAGTATTTCTAGGTGAATTTTTAAACTTAGGCAGAACCTGGAAATATTTAGTGTCCAGTAGTGTAACTCAAATGAGCTGAATTAAGCCACCATAAAAAAATATTTAAGCAATCTTATCATCAATTCAGTCTTCAAGCTTTCAAGAAACATTAATTTAAAACATTCCAAATTTATCAACCATAGCACAATGTAAAAAAAATAGTGGCAATCTAAAACATAAGAATAAATTCCTCTAATAATAGTACGTGCCATTCATACCAATCCACCGTCAGTTCTCCGACTATTCTGAAAAGAGTTAAATAAGAGTAACCATCTCAAAGAAATACTTAGTAGGCTACACGTGTTATTAGAACATAATAATCATATATATAATCTAGCATTCTTATATGTTGCCTTCATAAATAAGTAAATCGATGATTAAAAGATCTACCTAGGGTTCTGATGAACCTCTGCGACCATCAGTTTAACATATATATATTTAAGGTTCTAATGAAATGGGCCTCTGCGACCATTAGTTTAAACATTTATAAACATTTCTTTCATCAAAATTTAAGAGAAAAACTCTAAAGGCACTTCATATACTTCATGCAATCATAACGAATAACATGCATAATTGACAACAAAATTCATATAATGGCAAATTCGTGTAGGAATCCTACCTCAACTTGAAATAATAAGGTAGTAAGTGTGTCGATCGATTTCGAATCTTCAACGTGAAGTGTGTATATATATATATGTGTGTGTGGGGGGTTTATTCCATGTGTGCTATGTATTTTATCTATCTAGAGTTATCTATTGTGTATATATGTGTGTGTGTGTGTGTGGCTGCCGCATCCATATAATGTTTATTCCATGTATATAATGTTTATTCCATGTGTGCTATGTATTTTATGTATCTAGAGTTATCTATTGTCAATTGGAGTTCATGAGTGATTAGGAGTCTTTCCCATGTCACTCACAAGGATGAGATAAGGACAGATTTTAAACAAACAACGGTTTCGTAGTAAAGCTTGAAGTCTACACGTGAAAGCTGATAAAATCCTTCCAATGAAAACAATTAAAACCAATCCTAAAAGGTTTCATTCTAATCCAAAATCGAAGGTTCAAATTTCAGATTATTTAATGCACGTGGCTGCCAAAAAAAAATAAAAAAAACAAAATCAAAATCTTTAATTGACTTTAGTTAAGCATGTCATTTCTTTGAACATCAATATCATGAACCTAACTTATCTGAAATAACTTTTTCTCGACTACAAAATTTATCATTTAATATGAGATTCGAAACAAGTCCAATATCAATATGAAATTTCTCGTTAAATGATTACTTTATTATTTGACTGGAAGCTAAAATTTTGATACAAGATTTATTTTTAAATTAGTCCTCTGAGTCTCTAATTAACAAAACATGTCGCAATGAAATAGATGAAAGTTTATTTTCGATTGCTGCAGTATAACTTGAAATATGCATTTTAAGGTGTAAAATAATCGTCTTGCAAAAGACGATTTTGAGGAATGAGCCTACTATTTATCTCTCTCTCTCAGAATGAAATATTAGAAAATTGATCGTTATTTTGACTCGGATGGGTAAGAAAAGTTTTGAACTCATGGATTAAATGTTGTTGCATGAAATCTTACATGAGAGAAAATGTTGACAAACAATGTAGTGGGATAAAATGGAGGGTAATAGTTGTTCAACCCAGGATGAATAAAATATATATTGTGAGTTGTTTAAAAGGCTCCGAAAAGATACCTAGTCAAGATCATTAGAAGTTACAGAATGAAGCAATTAAAGTTTAGCGTAAGATATTAACGTAGCCAATTAAATATCACAAACTGAGAAAACATTAGATTATCAACATTTTTTTGTCACTCGAATGTTCAAAATTTTAATAGAATATCATATCTTGCTTATAAGCCAAACCTAAGGAGATCAATGAGTTGAATACTCATGTCTCACATATCTATGCTATGATAGTGCATTGTGCGTTGCAAATATTGTAAGAATTTCGAGCTATAATCTAATTAATTTATGTTTGCAAATCACCTCAAGAAAAATGCCATCGCATGAGACAAAAAAAGCTTTGATATAAAGAAGTACCTTTATTGAAGGTGATGTGACATCACGACGATGAAATTTTAGATAAGACCTAACAATTTTAGCGTATGTAGTAATGATTATCTAAATCTTTTGCCGTAACCGCTAGGAATTAGTCTAAGAATGTGATCTTAAGATTGGAATGTCAATGAGACTAGAACTATGAAGGTATTAGCAAACTAAGCAGTGGAAGCATGGTTACAAATTATGTTCATATTTTAAGGAGACACCAACGAAAATGAAATTTTTTAGGTTGAAAATTTTTTAAGAGGGCAAAAACATAACGT